GTGTGTGTGTGTGTGTGTGTGTGTGTGTGTGTGTGTGTGTGTGTGTGTGTGTGTGCGCGTGTGCGAGTGTGTGTGCGTGTGCGTGTGCGTGTGCGTGCATGCATGTGTGTCAGTAAGTGTGTCTGTGTGAGAGAGCGTGCATGTGTGCATGTGTGTGTGTGCGTGCGTGCGTGCGTGCGTGTGTGTGTGTGTGTGCGCGCGCCTTTGAGGAGGGCAGGAGAAGAGCAAAGGCCTAAGGAACAACCGCGACCAAGGCGCTGCTACCACAGGTGGGCAAAGGGCGCGACAGGCCGCACGGCGCTTGAAGGGCAGGCAACTCTCCTGCAGACGCAGCGCTTGCGACACAGCCCTCCGCTGCCCGCAGCCGCGCTTGCCGCGCCGCCCGTGCTCACGGTTGGCGGTCCAGTCGCCGCCGCCGCTCAGTGTCGCGGTCTTGCACAATTGAGAGGGCATGCTCGTGGCCAGCCGTACGATCTCGGCGTTGCCGGCCCCTGCAGCGTAAGCTGCCAGCAGCTCGACGTAGGCCATCTTGGGATTGCCCACAAGCGCCAGCGCAGCCAGCAAAGGGTAGGCGCCGCGCACGGCCCTGGCGGCGCAGCGAGGTGATACAGGCAAGACTTTGATGGCGGGCGCAAGCGCATGCATGCCAGCGACACTTGGTGCGCAGCAGGTCATGCAGGCTGGCAGCGCGTGCGCTCGCGCGCCAGCGCCGCATGGACCCGCACGCCCGCGCGCATCCAATGACCAACCTTTCAGCCTTGCGCATGCCGCGCTCGTATGCTGCATCACATGCGCCAGGCGCGGCGGCGGCGAGCGCGCGGCGCGTGAAGGCGAAGAAGTCTTCAAAGGGGCGCCCAGCCAGGCGATGGAAGCCCGCGGCGGCGTACGGCAAAATCCGCGGGCGCGGACGGTGCCGCAGGAACCACCCTAGCTCAACGGCAGGGTCGGCGCCCAGCGCATTCAGCGTGGGGCACGACGCGAAGAGGCTGGTCGGGTCGCTGCAGCGGAGCGCAATCGCCGTGAGCAGGGGGCGGGGGAGGTCCAGCAGGCGGCATGGGTCGCCATCGCTGGCAGCGACCGTGGCCGCGCCGTACGCAATGGGCATGTCCTGCGGCAGCTCTGCGCCAGCGGCCAACTGTGCGGTGACGTTAGCTGTGTATGTGAAGCGGTAATATCTGGGTATGTGAGCAGTCCGTGGTGCAGTGGCTCAAAACGCACAAGCTGAAAAGTGGCCATCAGAAAAAGTGAAACGCAAATGCTTGCAGCTGTACGGACACCAATATATAGCAACGCCCCGTAAAT